AATGCATAATGCTAAACAGGATTGCTTTGAGGTGTGGTATGATCACACTGCACCTCAAGCAATGATTTCGATCATGTAGCATGATTTACACTGGGAACGAGTAGGGACATGAAAATTTCTCCTCCTGCCTCTTTCTCTGTGTTTTGCCTAAGCGACTTAACAATCTTAAGGAATAGGAAGCTTCGTTTTCACTCACCCAAGGAGGGAAAAGGAGAGAAAGTTTCCCATTTCCTTCTAATTTTTGCTAACACAGGGCACCAGTGATGCTTCGGGGCAGCTTTTTTAAAGCCCTTTCAAAGCACTGCTGACACATTTACCATTATTAAAAATAAACAGAAAGCTTCCTCTCCCCTTTCAGCAATTGAGTGGCCAGGAAGCTTCCCATTTCTGAAGGTCATTAAGCAGCTTCAGCAAAAGGACAGCCAGCCAGCCACTTTGGTTTGATGCCAGCGATCACACACACTGGAACCAAACCAAAACAGAGTACCCCTACCTGCACCGAAACAAAAGCAAAGAACAGTAGCCCTTGACAGTGACACAAAAGGTGCCAATAGGCATTGCTAAGGTGGGCTGATTCACAATGGCGCATCCCATCATGCAGTGACTGAAAAAAGAAACAAACCAGCCCGTCCCCAACCCAGATCAAAGAGCAGGACAAGTCCCCGTCTGATTGCACCCTCAGTTTAAGGGAACAAGAGAAAGAAGATAACATTTTCTGCTCCCAGTTTGGTTAATGCTTACAGCTCCAAATTATATTATGTTCTAAGAGGCGTTAGCATATCTTGCAAAATCAGCTTCTGCCACTCCACAGTCTAGACGTGTTGCTTAACCTGTCCTGCGTCATCTTGACTTCCTGTAATACTAGACAGTTTGTTCAATAAAAGACAAATATAAGAGAAGGTATATCCTGAAATTCAGGCTCACAGACTTCAAAACTGGTCATGTATTTGCCAGGTTTCATACATGTTTTTTTGAAACTGCCTTCTAAATAGTACTGAAATACATACTAGAAGATGGGCGCTCCCACAAAGCCACGAAACTAATGAGGTGACCTTGAGTCTGTCACTGCGTCTCCACCTGACCTACATCATAGGGAAGTTGTGAGGATAAAATGGAGGAGGAGGAGTCAATTCCTTGAAGGAAAGGTGTGGTAGTAATGTAATAGATAAAACAAGATCTGAGAAAAAAAAACATACAGTACAAACTGTTCTGCCAAAAATGGCAGCCCAGGAAATCCCTTATCCATGAGCTTGTTACACAACATAGAGCCATCAGAAGACTTTCGATGCTGAGCCATTTAATAAAGAGGAGGTGTGGGATGTAAGGCAATTTCCACTGCTCATCTCATTTAAAAAACTCACTAGAAAAGGAGGGAGTGCTAACACACTCAAAATGTGTTAACCACATTGAAGCCTCTCTGACAGAGACAGGCGAGAACAGCATACCAAGCTGAACCAAACCCTCCTGTTGTATCACTCTAGAAACAGATCAAATCTAGGAACTAATGCTATCGCTAAGTTTGTTACGTGCCTTCATCTCCAGTGCACTTAGAATCATAGGATCATAGAAAAGTGAAGTTGGAAGGGGCCTACAAGGCCATCAAGTCCAACCCTCTGCTCAAGGCAGGAATAATGACCTGCATACAGCTTCTGAAGTGTGTAGTGTGTAGCCATCCTTCAGTCTCGAGACTATTGTAATGTGCTCTGAATAGAGGACTTGGAACAGCGTCTAGTGTGGCTGAGAAGGCCAATTCAAGAGTGACCATCCCTTTCACATTGAAAACAAATACAATCTGTACCCCGTCCAGCTCCCTGATTTGGCTGGTTTCGGGACTGCCTCTTTGCCTCGGCCTGCTGGACAAGGGTCACTTCAAATTGGGAGAGGCCATGCTGCACCGCCTGCCTTCAGGCTGAACGCTCAGATGTCAGGGTTTCCCATCTGTTGAGGTCCATTCCTAAGGCCTTCAGATCCCGCATGCAGATCTCCTTGTATCGCAGCTGTGGTCTCCTCTGGGGCGATTTCCCTGCGCTAATTCTCCATACAGGAGATCCTTTGGAATCCGACCATCAGCCATGCTCACGACGTGCCCAAGCCAACGTAGACGTAGACAAAGCAACGTACACATAGCTTCTGAAGTATGTGAGATATATAAGCGGTGATTTTTATGGCTGAGCAGGGATTTGTACCCAGGCCTCCTGGGCCAAAGTCCAACACTCTACCCACTGTACTATAAAGCAAAGCGAAAAAACAAAGCATGCTGCTTATATACCGCCCCATAGCGCTTCGAGCACTCTCTGGGCGGTTTACAATTATGCAGGCTACACATTGCATAATTGCAATGTGTAACCTATACTGGCTCTCATTTGCTGTACCTATACAACAGTCAACACCAATAAAAATCCAATCTTGGAGCAGAATTCCACAATTCTCATGCCAGGGATCTGCCAAGGAAAACTGGAGTTTCAAAAAATTACCGTTTTGGACACTATTCCCAGAATACTCCAGCCAACATGGCTGGGACATTATGGAAGTAGTAGTTTTAAAAAAGCTTATTTTTCATCCACTATGGAGAATGACAGCCTGCATCCAATTTTCTAGCATTATACATAGACTTAGGATGTGATTGCACAGTGAGGGAAATGCAAATTCATTTGAATTCACTCAATATGAAGTTGCTACAGGAATATGGGGTCTGTGCAATTTAAGTGGCTACACAGTAAAAAGGCAAAAATGCTTTTAAATGTTTGCTTGTAGTTCTGTTTACAGCCTTACAGGTGGCGCCATTAGAAAGAACTGCTTTATAAACAGTAAAAGGCTTCCTTTTTCAATTTTCTCATGTAGTTATCATCTTAGTTTTTTAAAATGTGGCTCTTGGAAAGAAGCACTGGTTCTTAACGTGCAAAACAAAAAATTCCCTCTAAGTTGTGCAGCTGCGCAAGCGAACTCAACTCTGGCCCTCCGCACAGGGTTCTTCTTCCTCTGTGCACCCACAGTGTCTGTTTCCAGCCCCTATGGTCCCGGCAGCGACAGTACCCCATACGGGGGGCGGGCGGCAGAGTCACATGCAGGGGGCAGCAGTCATGCGCATGACGGGTAGAACCCCACCCTGCGGGGCTAAAAATTAAAGGGAACATTGTCCAGGAGTGTTGCCCACAGAGGAGAGTATCTCAGGAAAGAGGTTTTGCTCCCTGAGTGTGTGCTGTTTGTATGTGCCTATGTATCTGCATGCAGCTTTTGAGGCAAGAGTTGAAGGGGAAAGCTGCTTTGGCAAAGCATTGCTTTGTGTGCATGCACATGCATGCACTTGGCTTGCCCATCCTTTCTGCCTCAGTTCAAGGGATCACATGCCTGAATTGATCCAAAAGAATTTGAATTTTTTTTTAAGTAGAAGGTTCTCTGGTAGGGAGGAAAAACTATGGAGAGGGAGTAGAGAACTCCAGACTGATTTGTATTTCCTGTTGCATCATGTGACCAAACGAAAAAAATTCAAAACACCCTGCCCCAGACCCATGGTACTACCTGCATTTTTCCTGTGTAGTCAGACTCTTATTCAGCTTTTCTTATGATACTACAAGGGTTCTGCCTCTGCCAGCAGATGCAGTCAGTAACTCAAAACACGTGTAGGAACACCCCAAGGTAATGATGCTGCGGCATCTTAGATTTTTAGGCACCCTTCAGTCTCGAGAGATTATGGTAACGTGCTCTGAATAGAGGTCTTGGAACAGCATCTAATGTGGCTGAGAAGGCCAATTCGAGAGCGACAATCCCTTCCACACTTAGGACAAATACAATCTATCCCCTGTCCAGCTCCCTGATTTGGCTGGTTTTGGGATTGCCACTTTGCCTTGGCCTGCTGGATAAGTGCCTCTTCAAATTGGGAGAGACCATGCTGCACCACCTGCCTCCAGGCTGAACGCTCAGATGTCAAGTTTTCCCATCTGTTGAAGTCCATTCCTAAGGCCTTCAGACCCCGCTTGCAGATCTCCTTGTATCACAGCTGTGGTCTCCCGCTGGGGCACTTTCCCTGCACTAATTCTCCATACAGGAGATCTTTTGGAATCTGACCATCAGTCATTCTTGCGGAATCTGACCATCAATCATTCTCACAACATTGCCGAGCCAACGTAGACGTTGCTGTTTCAGTAATATATACACGCTAAAAATTCCAGCTCGTTCTAGGACTACTCTATTTGGAACTTTGTCCTGCCAGGTGATACCAAAAATGCAACATCTATTACTAAAGGAAAAAACTCAACATAGGATACTTTGTAGCAACAACCACATGTTTCCTCTTACATGGTTCATCTCACACATCAAAGTAAATTGCACAATACACTGTTCCTGCATAGCAGATAAAGTAGTGGAAACTGACGTGCCATTTCTAAAATTACACCATTACATGCCCATGTAAATTTTCCAGGAAACATCTTCTGCTTTTTCTACCATCGAATCCAGTCTCTTTCCATTTTTCGAACTTACAAATTTTGAAGACAAGGGATCATTAATACTTATAAACTTCACTTAGTCTTGTTTTTTCCTCAACAGCATACTGTAAACATGTATATCTATAACCTAGGATTCTTTGAATATGCAATTCTGTCTTCACATTTGTTTTTCTTTTTTTAATTACTGTATCAGGGACTATCATTAAATCCAATAGTTCTACTTAGAATATATACAGTGACTCCATGGGAGTTTAACCTAGATTTTCATTTAATAAGTCCCAGGCATCCAATGGCTCCAGTTTAGCTGAGGTTCCCCATTCGATTCAGCCAAACAGCACATCTCCAAAACAGATCTATTTTTAAAAAAATGAAGAATGGGTTTTAACTTCACCAACATCAGCTTATGGAGTCGATTAAGGACTGGAATCTTTGTAGGTTGTGTATTCCCATACATATGATTAGGTTGATGGGGAAAAACCCTTGGTTGGAGAAGGAGCCACCTGAGTTTGCCTTGAAGAAATCAATCAATTAAAGTGGGGGTGAGTTCAAGCTTACCTGGGAATGCTAGTTAAATATGTCACGACATTCAGGAAATCTTCATCAGGGATCTCACTGAAGCCTGCATATTCGGGGAAGGTGATGATCGGCGCCCCATCTTTCCCTCTTCCACCTGGAAGAGAAACTGGGTTTCAGCTGGCTAAAAACTTTTCATAGATCCCAGCAGTCATGCATTCCTTATCAACAGGCTTCCATTACAAAGAAAAGCAATAATAACTGATTATTTATAAATTCACAATTGTGCACTGGAAGTATTCACACATCCCCATCAGTTTATAATCAGTCTGTCTTCCCAGGTGTCTTGGACTATAGTTCCCATTACCCCAAGCCAATAGGGGTTGTAATCCAAGTTCCAGCACAACTGAAGAACACCTAGTTGCGGGAGGCTGATCTAAACACCTACTGCCTGCAGGGAGCCAAGATTAACAAAGAATCTATGAACACAAGCAGATGCATGTAAGTTGAGTATTTAGACTGTACACAGTTCAAAAGTATACACTTGACATGTGACAGCTCTCAAGTTCAGTTCTTGCTCTCTCCAAGTAAGAAAAGGATTGTGGGAGAATCCTAGAAAGCAGTCTTGACAACAGTGGGTATGATGGAATAATGATCTGACCTAGGCACATGCCAATAACTGAGAGTCAAACAAGCCCTTTACAAAGTTCCTTTTTTATTTTAAACTCCCAGAATCCCCCGTTGAAGGTGGCCATGGTTTCATTCTCCTCAAGAGGTGGGGTCTCTATACCGCAGACAATCTTAGATGGGCTTAGCCATCGCTCGTTCTTCTTAGGGATACCTTCGGTTCTGTACCTCTCTCTCTCAATGGAAGGGCCAAGGGTCTCTTCCAAATAATACTCAGCACTACTTTCAAATTACATTTCCTCAGATGCTTTGGTATGATACTCATTTTTATCAATCAGGTTTTAGGTATATATTTAAATACAGAAAACACAAACCCCTTGGAGGCTTTGTATTTCAATGTTATTATCCAGTTTCTCACTCAGAGTTATGCTTTTCCCGTACTTTAAAATATTTCCTGTGGAAGAAAGCATGAAAAACAAGTACAGATTTGGAAGTGCACCTGGTGAGAAGCAGACACATCCACACAAACACACCCAGGAAAATCATGTCTTACTGCCAGTTCGTACCTGGCATATATGTGTTTAAGCGAGGCACCACTGTACAGATTTGCAAGTGTACCTGGTGAGAAGCAGACACATGCACACGAACACACACAGGAAAACCACGTCTTACTGCCAGTTCGTACCTGGCATATATGCGTGTTATACGTTATCAAATCACTTCCAGTGCACGGCAACCCTAATATGGTATTTTGTGAGCTATTTCAGGAGTGGTTTAGCCAGTGTTATCCACCTCCTTCCAGAGCCAAACACGGATTTGAATTCAGGTTGCCTGAGTCCTATTCTGACACTATATCTACTGTATCCACTCCACTGGCTTTCACAGTATATTGACTCTCAGTATATTCATGCATGCAATGAAATAACATGTGCAATTGTTTCAGATGGGATACACCCAATAACCTGAGGCTATTTCCTGCAAAGAACTGTGTGTGTGTGTTTTTTTTCCTTTCTCTGTATGATGTGTGACAGCGAAAGTGAAAAAAAATGCCTTTGAGCCAGTTAGCCATCCTTCAAAGCAAAGGGAATTAGTGGCACCACGTGGACAGATCTGGTAATGTTAGAGCTCAGATTAGAGAAGTAAAAAAAAAAGAAAATGTGGGGAGTTAGAACAAGTCAAACATTTTATGGTGGTTATTCTGTTCCCTGACACACTTCAATAACAAAGTCAAAGCAGACAGACATGTAAATTAAGGAAATGTTCAGCTGAATAGTCAATGAACAAATGTTCAGTGAAATGAATGTTAAAAAGACTTGAAATTATGTTTCCGAATTATACAGCCTGAAAAATATCTGAGCTTAAAAAGGCCACTGACCACAATGACTTGGGGGATTCTGGGAACGGTCGTTTAGACGTTAATTTTTCTAAATGCTGAAGTCGGAACATATCTAAGTCCTCTGCACCTAACAAAGCCATGAGCTGGAATTGACTTGACAGCATGCAATTATTAATGAAACCATGCAGATGCACAGGCACCCATCAAAGGCATGGAAACGGTCTTCTTTTATAGCACTGATGTGTACTAGTGATTTTGGGCACATGTGAACAGAAATAGAGAGGCTTGCTTTTTTTAAAAATAATTTTTAAAATTATTATTATATAAATCCATCCATACTTATTTAACATCGTGTCCCCAGGGTATAGCTTATAATCATTTGTAAAACAATTACTACACACATTACGCTCCTAATCTATACAACATCCTTCTAACCATTGATAGAATAAGTCCCATGTTTGATAATATTTTGTATCTTCTTTTCCTTTGATTTTCAGTGTTAGTCTGTCCATT